GATGATTCCTCTGGGACCGGTGACGCTAGCAGCAGCCCCGACGCTTGTTCCCCCCCGGAAGCTACTGTGTTGGGCTCACCAAAACCTGCTTTCCATCAGAGCGGTTTACATACCCGGCGTTCTGAACAGAGGAGCAGACGTGATGTCCAGGGGCGGCCCACGTCACGCGGACTGGACCCTCCATCCAGACCTGATGTTTCAGACGTGGCAGAAGTTTGGCAAAGCAGCTGTGGACCTGTTTGCGACGCGAGAGAACGCTCAGTGCCAATTATGGTTTTCCCTGAGCCCTCGAGACGACCCACCGCTGGGGGTGGATGCCTTTGCCCACAGCCCGTGGCCCAAAACGCTTCTGTACGCGTTCCCCCCCCCTCCTCTGATTTTACGGTTCCTGAACCGAGTTCAGGAGGAGGGACTGACAGCTCTTCTGGTAGCTCCCGAGCGCGTGAACGCACCATGGTTCCCGGTCCTGCAGCGTCTGTTGTCAGGTCGCCCGTGGAAACTGCCATGGAGGGAAGATGCTCTCCTTCAAGCAGGAGGAGCGATCAGGAGTTACCCGGAAATAGGCCAGCACCTATGGGTCTGGCCGCTGAGCGGTCCCGCTTAGAGAGGATGGGTCTCCCTCAGGAGGTAGTGCGCACAATCCAAGATTCACGCGCTGCATCTACCACAGCCCTGTACACATCAAAGTGGACGGCTTTTCAGCGCTGGTGTACAGAGAAAGGTTTAGAGGCCACCTCATGTCCATTAGGTGGCGTGTTGTCCTTTCTTCAACAGCTGATGGATAGGAAGTTGGCATTCAGCACGATTAAAACGTACGCTGCAGCCATCTCTTCCTGCCACGAAGGGTTCGGGGACAGAACAGCTTTTAACCACCCGCTGATGAAGCGGTTTCTAAAAGGTGTACAAAGACATAGACCGGTTTCACGCCCATTAGTTCCACAGTGGGATTTAACGCTGGTCCTGCGAGCCCTGATCAAGGCTCCTTTTGAGCCTCTGGATCAAGTCTCACTTAAATTCCTGTCTCTTAAAACAGCCCTGCTGCTGGCTTTAACATCCGCTAAGAGGGTGAGTGATTTATCCGCCCTCTCTGCCGCTCCGTCATGTCTCAGAATCCAGGCTGACGGTAGTTCAGCTGATTTAAGACCAAATCCAGCCTTTATGCCTAAAAGCATCACGAGCTCTTTTAAATCGAGACAGATATCGTTGGAGGGATTCTTCCCTCCCCCCCACAGATCAGAAGAAGAAGCATCTTTTCATCTTCTCTGTCCGGTGCGGGCGTTATCGTGTTACATAGCGCGCACAGCTGCAATGCGTCAAACTCAACATCTGTTTGTGCATTATAGAGATGCATCCGCAGGCCGCCCGTTATCCACCCAGCGCTTGTCACACTGGCTGTGTGAGGCCATTTCTGAAGCCTACAGAGCATCAGATCTAGAGCCTCCTGTCAACCTCAGGGCACACTCAACCAGGGGTATCGCATCTTCGACTGCTCTGCATAATGGTATGTCAATGCAGGACATTTGCACTGCGGCTGCATGGTCAACACCCTGCTCATTTATTCGCTTTTACCTACGTGATGTAACGGCTCGTTCCATGACACATTCTGTCCTTAGTGCTCTAACAGAATGAATATTGTTGTTCTCATGGAACTCTGTTTAAACTCACATCTGTCTGCATGCATTACAGTGTGAGATGTTGTTATCAGCCACAAGTTGTGTCTGTGATTTTGGTTCTATTGTCACTAATCAGTTCATGACTATTGTTACCAATCAGTTCATTGTTCAATAATCAGTTCATTGATATTAATCTGTTTATACTGTTCAATCATGAATCAGTTGCTTCATGCCCCCCCCCCCCTCCTCTTTTTAATATCTTCCCCGTTGAAAGTTTTTCCGGGGCATTCATGCTTGTCAGAACGCATAGTTGCACAACATGCGTCTGTGCATGGCACACAATTACGCGATGCGTAGTTATGCACATGGGGAGCTGAATGACAAGACGTTTTTTGGGCAAGCTTCCGCTTCTTACTGTGTTCGAATGGACCCAGTGAGGCGAGGACCACATCCGCTTCGCCCTTAACCCATCAGCGACAGCCTTAAAGGGCGAAGCCTATATGACATAGAACGTTGGTTACGTACTGTAACCCCAGATTCTATGAATATAGGCGTAGCCCTTTAAGCGTCGGGCCTCACTGGCTCCTGAATAGCTGAAGAAAAGAATAAGCTATTTGGGAGCAGATTACCCGCTCTTAACGTAATTTATACGGATCGGGTGGGGCCCACACAGCAGGTGGGCGTGGACTAATTTTTTCAGTACGATGCTTGCGCATAACGGGATAAACCCATCAGCGACAGCCTTAAAGGGCTACGCCTATATTCATAGAATCTGGGGTTACAGTACGTAACCAACGTTTGTGCTCTTTAAAAATTGCTAATTATTTCCTCCGTTGGTGTGTGTTAGGCTGGGTAAATATACACTCGACTGATCCCAGTTAATAGAGAATTACGTTGCTCATGCTCTGACTGTATTGTTCTCCCCCGGGGTCTACCAGACTGTAACCTGAGACCAAGTTATAAACAAGGCAGGAGTCCAGCACAAACAGCTGACTCAGCCACCTGGAAGCCAAATGTCTTGGCTTGCTTATTTCAGAAGTGCTCCACCCTGATCCAAAACAACATGGATTTCTATCTGATTTGCAGGGCTTAGACAACACACGAACACAACTGAGCTGCACACAGCCCGGCGCAGAGGGGTGGGGACAGGAAGGCAGTTGTTTACAGACATGAAACAAGTAAAATACACAGCATCCCTAATGAAAGAAATATATCAGTCCTGTGGAGTTTATTGTACGTTAGCAACTAAAGTAAAATCATTCAGGGCTCAGTTTAAACTACAATCAAAATAAACAGATCCTTAATGTGTGGCGTGGGTTGAGATGCATACTCAACATATTTTAATTTATTCTCATCTAATAATTAATAGTCAGTGACAATATGCATCACCAAACTAGCTCATGATAAGATTAAGAAACTATGAGACAATATTGCCTCTGTACAGTCTGTCCTGTACATGAAACACCAAATCTGACATCTTAGAGTTGATGAAACCAGTAGAACTCCATCCATCCATCCATCCATCCATCCATCCATCCATCCATCCATCCATCCATCCATCCATCCATCCATCACCTGGGAGAGGATGGATTAAATGCAGAGAGCCACTTTAGCCAACACATAACACATTATGATAAGGTGCTATTTATAAGACTGAGCAGAACACAGCACCTCAGACTGAAGAAGTCTTTCGGATGAAAGACGAAACGTTTCTACCTTTTTTTTGGGGGGGTATTGTTTTGTTTTCTGAATGTCCAGAGGACTTAACTTTTTTAGATTTTTCTACCTGGACTATTGAGCATGCATCAGGATATAACACATTATTATTATCATTATTATTATTAAGTGTCTTTGAGTATTTAGAAAAGCGCTATACAAATAAAATATATTATTATTATTATTATTATTATCTTTACTCGCTTCTTCCTTTTCGGGTCACAGGGGTCACTGGTGCCCATATACAGCTGTCATTGTGAGAGAGGTGGGGGACACTCTGGACAGGTCTCCAGTCCATCACAGGGACACATAGAGACAAACAACCATTCACTCTCTCACTCACACCTAGGGACAATTTAGAGTTATCAATCCGCCTAACATGCATGTTTTTAGTCTGTGGGAGGAAACTGGAGCACCTGGAAAGAAATCAAGCATGCACAGAGAGAACATGCAAACTCTGCCCAGAGTGGTCCCCGGCCAGGATTTGAGCCGGCAACCTTCTCGCCAAGAGGCGGCAGCTCTATCTAATTCTCCACCGTGCTGCCCGTTTTATCATCAATAAAGATGTTTATTTTTTTCATCTATTTTTGGGGGGGTTTGGGGGAAAGAAAATCTGGTAACTTTTGGTAATAGAAAAAAAAACCTAATTCTATGAGCACGTGGTTGTTTTTATAATAAATACCTTTAAACTCTCACTGTTGAGTTCAGTCTTTATTTTATGTTGCAGCCCAATGAATCGAGTCTTAACATAATACATACGAAGCTGGAATGTGGATCAGTTTTTTTGTTTTTCATGATTAACTCAGACTACTGTACTATTTTTAAACAATAAGGTGATTTTTTTTTTTACCAAAGTTTGCAACAGTTTGTCTTCTTCCTTTTCATCACGATTCAACAAATAATTAACTTAAAATGATGATAGTCAATGCAGACCTACAGTTTGATAAATACACTGTCCAGTGTAGGTCAAAGTGTTGCAACTTGTTTATACACATAAACTAGATGAGAGGGGTCAAGTTGAATACCCAGTTGTTCTATTTTTACCAGGTTCAATTTGTCTACTTAAAAAAAAAAGTTAAACCGAAATAGGTTCGTCCATCCATTTCTTTACCAGCTTTTTCTGCTCGTTCAGGGGGGTGCTGGTGATTTTCTCCATCAGTCACTGTGTGAGAGGCACTGTACTCTCTGGACAGGATGCAAGTTCAAACAGGTGACTGTTTACCGTATATTTCGGACTATAAGGTACATTACGCGAAACAAAACAGTCAGACAAGTCAAACTTTATTCAACTCATTCACAATAACCACATAAAATTGGGTCAAGGTCAGTAAGCACAACCAGAATTAATACGTAAGGCGCACCTATAAGACTCACTTTCGATTTGTGAGAAAATGTAAGGATTTTAAATGTGCCTTATAGTCCGAAAAATACGTTAATTTTTTTCCCACTATTTTCCAGCTCTCCAAAGTACAAACACACACTTCTGCAAATATATCAAGAACCGCTGGTTGTCAGTGATGGCTACTTTGAAAATTATATGTATTTGCAACCCTAGTATTGGGGAAAAAAAAAAAATCCAAATAATGCACAGCAGCATGTATTGACTTTTTTCTACGCGTCTGTAAATTATTGTGGCATTTAAGTCATACGTGCGCACACATGCTGACTGACCTGTAACGAGCTCCCGGACTTCTGCATCCACAGTCTTTCTCAGCAGGCGGAGCAGCGCTGGAATACCTCCTGCGTTTCTCACAGCGACCTTGTTGTCGTCCATAGCTTTGCCATAAACAAGGTTCCTCAACGCCCCACACGAGTTCCTTTGGACTTCAACAATTTTGTGGTCGAGCAGGTCCACTAGGTGTTTAATTCCTCCCAGTCGACCCACCTGGCGAAGAAGAACAAGATCACGCACACAGTTAAAGATTTATATTGCTCTTTTAATTTGTATGTTGAGGAGAATGAAGTCATGAATGTATTCATGCGATAAGATATTCCACTCATTGAATTTATTCAGACTGAACACAAATTATCTGGAAATGCAATGCTAATTTAAGGCAATAGAAACGGCCTTCCCGAGGAAAGTGGGAGGCAAAAAGATAAAAAGGCATTTTTCCTTCAAATATTTTTACAACAATAAGCTTCTTAATTTTTTTATAACATAACATTAATCATTCAAGTGATATACTGACATTTGGCATGTGAGAACACTGAATGCATTCTTCACAAAGCACACCTCATTCCACCTACATCTTTCAATCATAATATAACCTTCTCCACAAAAATGCATAATGCTAAAAAAATAAGACTGACCTTTAATATTCATAGGAAAATAAATGCACAAAAAAGTAACGCCTGTGTGAGTTAATTTAGTTTTATGGTTGTGCGATTCTCCCTGTGCATAAAATGCACAAGTCATGAGAAAGTGAGTTGGTGTGTGCCTTTAAAGTTGCAGCAGATTTTCTGTCATTGTTTATAAGTTGCTGACTATACAAACTTATATTAAAGGTAATAAATCTTAGACAAGTTGATTTAGATCAATTTGATAAACTGAATTAATTTCTGACATTGTTTTTTTTCTACACCTCAGTTCACCAGTTTTATTGGTTTCAATCACACAAACAGCAAAAAAAGCAGAAAAGACCTCAGGATTAGTTTGAAGATTAAAAGTCAATTTATTAACATAGGAATGATGTTGTACTGCAACAAATATTATCTCCCTGTTCACGGCAACTGTGAGCATCCACAACCAGAAGCCAAAGCTAAACATTTCTTTAAAAGCCTTATTGCCTTTATACACTCTCTTTTTGTAATAAGAAAATCCATGTTGAATTTTGTTTTAATTAACTAAGTTTTATATTCTTTAGAAATGAGCTAAAAAAATAGACCTTCTACATTACACATTCAAAGATAGATATAAAACATATGTCAAGACAAGTCAGCTTTGTTTATAAAGCACATTTAAAACAGCAGATGCTACCAATAACATCAATGACAGTAATATAATGGAAAAAAAAAAAATAATAACGATAGTAGTGAAACATTAATTAAAAGTGATAAAGAAAAAAACATAAAAAAAATACTACATCAACTCATGCTGTGTGGAATGCCAGAGAAAACAGATGTGTTTTAGAAGAGATTTAAAAACAGGAAGTGGAGTGGCCTGCCTGATGTTGGGGGGCAGATTGTTCCAAAGTTTGGGGTCCATGACTGAAAAAGCTCGATCAACTCTGAGCTTCAATCTTTTGGAACAACCAAAATAACTAAACTGGTTGTGACAAACATAACAAGAGTACTGCATACGGCCCCTTATACACCGGTCGTCAAATTATTATACAGCAATACAGAAATCTATAACAATGGTCTGGACAAGCAAAGACCTTGTATGACATTTGACCTTGATTTATGACCTTGACCTTGAATCTGGGGGGATTAAAATATGTGACATGGCATGTAGTGGTGTTACAAATCTGTATCAAGTTTTTTTTAAATATCTTGAGTAAGTCAGAAGTTATGGGTGGGACAGAAAAATACCCCATTTTAACTTTGACCTTGATTTGTGACCTTGATCTTGAAGCTGGGATCACAAAAACATAATGTGACATGCCATTTAGTGGTGATACAAATCTGCATCAAGTTTTGTTAAATTATCTTGAGTGAGTCAGAAGTTATGGGTGAGAAAGGAAAATACCTTGTTTTAACTTTGACCTTGATTTGTGACCTTGACCTTGAAGCTGGGATGATTAAAAAAATATGTGACATGTCATTTAGAGGTGGTTCAAATCTGCATCAAGTTTTGTTCAAATGTCTTGAATGAGTCAGAAGTTATGGGTGGGACAGGAAAAGACCTTGATTTTGACCTTTACTAAAAAAAAAAATAATAATACATCAATGATGCAGAAGTTCATGAAGTTTTGTTACATTAGCTTGAGCAGATCAAAGGTTATGGGTGAGACAAGAGAAAGTTTCCATACATATGTAAACTTCTTAAGGACCAATGGAGACTGTACCATAAAAATACGTCTACTTTTCGATGGACGTATACAAATTAAGGTGGATTCACTGTAATAGGGATCAGTGGTATAACACTTACCTCACTCTTAACTCGATTATCACCAAAACACAGGTGCTGCAGGTAGGCAGCTGCGTTGGCCTGGACCGAGGGGAAGTGATGCTGGAGCATTTGGATTACCTCTGCAAGCTCTGGGTCACGCCATGCGAACTCTCTAAAAGTACAAGTGGGGTGAAAAGGCATCAGCATGGCAACAAACACAAGAAGCACTTTCTCTGCTCACAGAACACTTTTGCACCTAAGGGCAAACTGATAAACCCAGGAAATTGTGTTCACGTCTAAGTCTACAGCCTGAAACTGCCCACCTTTGTTACACTTGAACTGTTTTTCTGTAAAGACAAACACTGCATCTGAATAGCTACCGATTAACTCCTGAAACATTTTTTACAACGTATAAATGTCATTGTGCATATTTTTACAAGTTTGTAAAGTCATTTTATTACTCTTCCTCTTACACAAATACACACTCAAAGTTAAACCAGTGGTGCAGTCAATGTGACATGCGGCACATGGAGTGTATCCACTAGAAAAGCTTGGGAATTTCGGTATACCCACTTAAAAGTGCCCAATGACACGAGCCCATGTCATGTATCATTGGCAAATGATACATGACATGGGCTCATGTCATTGTCAACACATGTGAAACATTTCATAGACACACTGAGTTGGTTCAACCTGTTTTTTTGTTTAATTACCGGTAATAATTCTGTACTTACCACATAATACTTGAACATGTTTTTCTTTGATACTGTTTTATTCATTCAACCTTTATGTATACAGGTTAGTCTCATTGAGCCTCGGGGACTCATTTACAAGAGAGACCTGTTTTTAGCAAAGAACGACGACAACAGAAGACAACAATAGACGATCATAAAAGAAAGCATGTAAATTGAGAAGAATACCGATAAATGAAAGAAAAAAAATGAAAGAAAATGGTATTTAAAAAAAATTAAAAAACGAATAAAATAACAGCTAAATTGCAAAGCGACGTAGAATGCTAAAAACATTCTATAACATGTTTTTAATACAAAGCCAACTGTTGCACAAAGTTTGTTGTACATTTATTCAAATAATCATCAGAGAAATTTTGAAATGTTCAATATGCTTATAAATCTAAATAAATTAACAATTACATTGTACTAACCGGTGTACTTTGGTTTCTAAGCGCAGTATACCCACTACACAAATGTAGACGACACCACTGGATTAAACTATTACAGACTTTGACTTCCTGAACAAAGCTGAATCACAGTGGTTGCTCATGTGTCCTTTGAGTAACCGAACAGTGCACAGTATACAAGTATGAACTCTCTGATGTGCATGATTTTACTGCAAGTGTTAACGCACACCTCTGGACCAGAAGAGCAGACGCAGCACATCAGTGTATATAAGAATCTATTGTTAAATAGCCAGGCATAGTTGAGCCAACATGATGACCACAGCCCTGTGTAGCCATTCAGGAGACTCTTTGTTTGAACAGTAAGAGGACACTGGTGTTGACCCAGCAGAACAAGGGGTGCCTTGTAAGCACAAGTAGACTCCCCGAACGACTGTGATGTGCTAAACTATATTAGTTATCAACAAAAGGGTAAATCTAGTGGTTACAATAACACAACTTAACACTGAAATGCTTACCTAGGATCTTTCTGAATGCTGTCTATAGAAGGAGATCGGGTGGCATCGTCATCCATAACGAGAGGCTGGCGAGCGTAGGTCGCATCGGGGGGCCTGTACTGCGCCGTGCGATACTGATCAGCGTAGGTGGCGGCTGTGTTAAGAGCATAGTTGTTTCTTTGGTAAGTCATGGCACTACGCTGGCTGGATGTCCTCTTCAGGCTTCCCACACCTAAAAAAACAAGAACACTTAAGAATAAAACAAAAACATGCCTAGAAAAAGGTGAAGTGATGCAGGCAAGGATTAACAAACATTTCCAGCTAAACTTGGAGCTTTAGTTAGCTTACAGTAGAAGTTTACACAAAGCTGAAAATACATACATGCTGCTGCTGCTCCGACAAACTCCGCAAATTCTCAAACCTGGAGCCAATTAATGACAAGAGTAAAACAAAAGCTCCCGTGGTTGCAGAAAGCAAGGTCATTATCCTTCAAAAACGTCTTTACTTGTTTTGTTTTTACAAGATTGCGTGTAGCTAGAAGGGGTTCTGTTGGTGTTCAGAGAGCACAGGAGGACCCAACCTGCTTGATGAGCTGCAAATTCTTTCTTCACCGCCTTCTTGATCTTTTACAACTCTGCATTCTTGGACTAATCTTGAAAAAAACCACACCCTTTAGTGATTCAGATCCAAAAAATGGTCAGGATTTCAAAGGTTTAGGCATCCAAAATAAAAAAGTATGGTAAAATCAGCAACGTTTTGCTCTGCTTGTTACTTGTTCGATCGTGTATATAGCCGATTTTTAAACACAAGGTGTCACAAACAGAACTGCATAAACAAGCTGGTAAGATTCAGCCCTCCTTCTGAAGGAAAGCCATGTGATCTGTGCCAGCATGACCTGCCGTGCAGGCCAGATTTGTATCAGGAATCCAAAAGAACTGGGCACGAGCGGGCTTCAAACTCCCCCCTACCATGGACCGAGACGTCAGCTTGTGGCATTGCTCCAAAAATACAATTTCTCGCATCAGTGCACATCTATGTTGGGCTGCAGCTCAAACCCACATCGCGGCTATCTCCCCAAACCCAACAATACACAGACATAGGATGACAAATTACAAGCAACATAGCTTTGCAACGTTAGCAGAACTTTTTCGACCCCATTCGTCAACCTTTCCAGCAAATACTCGTTATACTTCATTTGACAAAACTCTAGTCCAGCTTACACAAAGCAGTGCAGAGTACGCTTCCAGAAACAGCCAGACGCACAGAAGGAAATGACCCACGGAAATATTTCAAAATATAACAAAGGATCAAATTGGGTTTTACTAATGAAGCAGTTCAGGCAAAGAATCTATATTAAACACCTCACTAGCTCTTTCTCAATATCTGTGGCACAAATATAGCGGCTTGTTATTTGGGGCTTCCACACTGCATCAATAGCTTTCATCAAGTGACTTATCAGTCCAAGCAGATCTTTAGTGTGCCACTGGGAAGGCTGAATGGAGAGTGTGTATGTGTGTGTTGAAATGAAGCATCTGTATCTTAGGGAGGGATGATGAGATGAGAATGGCAACATAAGGAAGGTCGGGAGAGAGAAGGCAGTGGATGTGAGGAACCAAGACATCCTCTGACTCTTTGTCCTTTTTCAAGAGCTCACTGTGACACATGGGTAATGGATTCCTTTGACGTAGAACAGCATATCAGAACCTGCCTATTAGCTCATGTCTGCTTTTTTCTGTCTGTCAGTGCAGACAGGAAAGGAACATGGTGCAGAGAAAAAAGGTCGGAATAAAAAAAAAAAATGGAAATCAAGAACAAAAAGCAAAAAGGAAAGTCATAACATGCAGAGCTAAAGTGCAAAGAGACAACGATCCCCCAAGGAAGACAATACACCACAGTCAAGGGCACTCTCATTAAACGGCAAACACTGAAATATTTGAAGTCGAAGAGAATATCTGCACCTGATGGGAAAAAAGATGTGTTTGGGTTAAACAACAATTTAGCTCCACGAGTTTTGGCGTTCACTGCACAACGAGAAATGTTCAATGTGCAATATTATTCATAGAATATTAGTTTTTGTCAAATTATATTGTTTATCTATTTACTCAGAAATAAATACTAAAACAATTTCAGGTAGTTTTGAAATTGTTTTGCTTTTGAACTGCTTAAGACTTGACCTGTTTTAGGGCTTTAGGCCTTATTTGCTCAAACGCTATACACGTTTTCACAAAATATATTCATCAATAACTTTGACCAAGTCAAGCCACTGTTTATGACTGTGATTTTTTTCCAGTTTTAACATTTAACAGACTCATTCTGGAGCTTTTGGAAGTCTAAGCTGTGTGCTACAGTCCTTATAAGATATGTAAGAATAAGAGCCAACCTGAAGGGCTCCTGTAGAGGGTCCCATGCTGGGTGTGACTGGGGCTGCGGTACAACGGGCCTCGAAAAGTCCGATCTTCATAAATGGGTGCAATGTGGCGATCTGGGGAGATGGTTGACCTCATGTCTTGTCCAAGTTGGCTGTGCTGACTGGCGTAAGAGCTTCTTATTCCTGTAGATGCAGGGGAATGGTTAAGAATGTAGTGGTTGGTGTAAAAGATTTGATTTGCACAAAGGTTTGGAGCTTGTGAGCAACTTTCACCTTGCTACTGATGCACACGGAAAAAATGTCTTGCATGATAAATGTTTTGTTGTATGAGACATTTTTCTACTAACTTGGTTTCTAATCAATCTGCTACAGTCTAAAAGTTTCAGTCTCCTGATTTCTGTAATCAGTCACATTAAACAACATGCATCCTCATCATCTAATTAATCTAATTAGCTGCACAGATACCCATTTTGAAAATTCCAATCTTGACACTGCTTTGTCATTCAGCAATGAAGCAACTCTTAACAAAAATAGCAGCAGATTGATGATATTAAGGGTACAAAGATTCCAGAAAGCAATAAAAGATGCTGTCGTCTTACAGCAAGATGGTTGGAGATTAGCCTCTTGGCCTTTCTGGGTGGAGTTTGCATGTTCTACTACGTGTTTGTTTTTTTTCCAAGTTCTCAGGATTTCCTCCCACAGAACAAAAACATGCATATTAGGTTAATAGTTAACTCTAAACTGTGTCTAGGTGTGAGTGAGAGGGTGAATGGTTGTTTGTCTCTATGTGTCCCTGTGATGGACTTTGGACCTGTCCAAGGTGTACCCCACCTCTCACACAGTGACTGCTGGAGTTAGACACCAGATTCTCCATAAACCAGAAACAAAGAAGCAGGTAAAAAAAATGGATGGATGACTGGTTGGAATTATTTCATTTTTTTAATGGGGGGGGGGGTGGGGGGGGGGTGACAGGAATTCAGCATTGCACACTCACATTTTCATACCATTCAATGGTAGACAGGTGGGTCTGACACAGAACAACCAAAACATTTTATGTACTATATGACATCAAAAAAACTAATTTGCACTAAAAGTTTGCTTGCGCTGATGTGGTATTGTTGGCTTCATTTCCTGATTCTTTTCACAACTGATGGTGCCGGACTTATAGAAAAAAGTTTAAACTGATCAGTGCATGAACCGTCACAAATATCAGGAAATGCAGCATGCTTCACACAGCTTGGTTAATCAGCAACAAGTTGAACTTACAGAAGTGAGAAAAACAGACTTAGATCATTTTAAAGTGGTGCAGGACTTTAACCACATGAGGAGGCAGACCCGTTATCTGGCTGGAGTTTTGGACATTAAGAATAAACAACTCAGTTAATACTCATTAACTTATCACTATGACACACAACATCAGAAAACATAAAATGCAAACACAAAAATAGTATCTGTACCACCTAAGCAGAGGATATTTTTAGATGTGGTCTTTTTCTTATATCTCAGAGTGTTATTAATCTGTCTCACAAGAAGTAATTCAGTCACTTGTCATGTTAGTCTAGCTATTTCTTTAACCAAAGAAAAAACAAAAAAAACTTTTTTCTTTGACAAGTTAAAACTCACATGTTGAATTACATTTATATTACATTAGCCTAGCCATAAGCCTCCCTGGTAAGGTCTATTCGGGGGTTCTGGAGAGGAGGGTCTGTTGGATAGTTGAACCTCAGATTCAGGAGGAGCAGTGCAGTTTTCATCCTGGTCGTGGAACACTGGACCAGCTCTACACTCTCAGCAGGGTCCTGGAGGGTGCATGGAAGTTTGCCCAACCAGTCTGCATGTGCTTTGTGGACTTGGAGATGGCGTTCGACCACGTCCCTCGGGGAACCCTGTGGGGGGGTGCTCTGGGAGTATGGGGTACCTGGCTTTTTGATATGGGCTGTTAGGTCCCTGTACGACCGGTGTCAGAGCTTGCTCCGCATTGCCGGCAGTAAGTCGGGCTCGTTCCCAGTGAGAGTTGGACTCCATCAAGGTTGCCCTTTGTCACCGATTCTGTTCATAACTTTTATGGACAGAATTTCTAGGTGCAGTCAAGGTGTTGGGGGGATCTGTTTTGGTGGCTTTAGGATCACTTCTCTTCTTTTTGCAGATGATGTGGTCCTATTGGCTTCATCAGGTCGTGATCTACAGCTTTCACTGGAGCGGTTCGCAGCCGAGTGTGACGCGGCCGGGATGAGGATCCGTTCCTCCAAGTCCGAGGCCATGGTCTTAAGCTAGAAAAGGGTAGAGTGCCCTCTCTGTGTCAGGGAGGAGGTCCTGCCCCAAGTGGAGGAGTTTAAGTATCTTGGGGTCTTGTTCACGAATGAGGGGAAAAATGGAGCGAGAGATCGAAAGGCAGATAGGTGTGGCATCTGAAGTGAAGCAGGCGCTGTACCAGTCTGTTGTGGTGAAGAGAGAGCTGAGTCAAAAGGTGAAGTTCTCAATTTACAGGTCGATCTATGTTTCTACCCTCATCTATGGTCATGAGCTTTGGGTTGTGACCAAAAGAACAAGATCACGGATACAAGTGGCCGAAATGAGTTTTCAACCGCAGATTGTGTCTGGGTTCTCCCTTAGAGATAAGTTGAGAAGCTTGGTCATCCGGGAGGGACTCAGAGTAGAGCCGCTGCTTCTCCACGTCGAGAGGAACCAGTTGAGGTGGCTCGGGCATCTGGTTAGGATGCCTCCTGGACGCATCCCTGGTGAGGTGTTCCGGGCATGTCCCACTGGAAGGAAAGCCAGAGGAAGACCCAGGAAACGCTGGAGGGACTATGTTTCTCGGCTGGCCTTACCTCCATGACCCGACCCCCGGATAAGCGGAAGAAAATGGATGGATGGATGGATGGATGGATGGATGGATGGACGGATGGATAGCCTAGCCTTAAACTATCACTACTGATAAAAAAAAAAACATTTTTGTTTAACGTCTAAGTGTTTTAAAACACATTATGCAAAAGGTTAAATGTTTTGTTCATTAAAAAAAAAAAAAACTTATATAGTTGGCAAATCTTAATGAACCATGCGAAGTTATAGCTGCTTCAATTACATTTATAAGACGCGTGTGTCCCAGTACAGTTCAATGATTATGACAAAAAAAAAATGTTATGTAATAAAACCTTTATATTCCATATTCAACTATACAAAACAAAAAAAGGTTGTTTTTTTTTTGCTCCATAAAATATTCAACATGAAGAAATGGTGTAACTCTCCTGTAGGACAAGTGCAAGGCTGGCTAGGAGAGGGTGCATAGCATACGGCGTCTCAAAAAGAAGGAATGCAAAAAATAATATTTGTAGGAATCTAAAAAAAAATTTAAAAGAAGTGGTTAAAAATTTAAACATAAAAAAAGAGTTAAATAAGAGGGATAACTAGTTTAAAAAATAAAATCACTGAGCCAGTCATTTCTTTGTCATGTCAGGCTAAAAGCTGAAATCGCTGCTGAAGCAAAATAAACCTTTTCTTATGGGACATAAAACTGTGCACGTATCTGCTGTTAAATTATGAAGATGGTGTAAATGTTTTAAAATTTTAGGCCGTCACTCCAAGCTTTAGAAATAGGTGCCATAAAATGTAGAAAAGAGTCACTAGAAACCATTATAGTCCAAATAAACTCAATTAAAGTGATCTAAACGCCTATGTTTGTTTGTATTAAACCTCACATGAGTGAAACTTACGGAGCTGTGAACCTCCGTGGACCACTGTGCATATGGCAACTTACTGCTCATTGCACATATCGAGAGCCCACAGACGTCACTTGGGTCCTCTCCAACAGCGTGAGCTCCGGTGCAGAATGTAAATAAACACCAAGTCTACCAAGCAGAACTGAATAAATGAGGGAGCTCTGTCTTTAAAATGTAAGAATAAAAACCAGCCATGTTGGCTTACTTTGTGAACAAGAACAGGAGATACCTGTCGGCAAGGAGAGTAAAGATTTTAAATGAAGATAGCGAATCAGTCTGACACGCCTTCGTCTGAATCCTTTGAATAACAAATGCATAAATGAACACTTGGCTGTATTATTACTGGTTAATATTTATTAAAATGGTTGTTTCAGTCACAAGTCTCTACTTTTGGAGACTAGTAGAAAATTTTACCTCATATTGTGTCCATTACATAATTTTGCTTTTTGAGATTCAGTAGTCCCTCGCTACTTAGCAGACTCGCTCTTTCGCAGTTTTTCAACAAAAGATTGTACACGACACACGACTGTCAACTTTAATATTACAAACAATAAATAAATAAATAAAAAGTGCTATGTGTTGTCATAATTGTATGATCCAATACAATACAATAATAAAATAGTTTCTCTGCATTTAACCCATCACACCTGGGATGCACCCAAGTGGAGCAGTGGGCAGCTATGTAGGCACCCAGGGAGCAATTGGTGATTAGGTGTCTTGCTCAGAGACACCACGGCATGTGGGAATGGCTGGGAGTCGAACCTGGGACTTTCAGGTCACGTCGGCCGCCCTACCTCTACCCCATCTCGGCCCCCACTCACGGGATTGGGACGGTACGGATTGAAAAGTTAACGCAAAAAAAAAAAAAAAAACCTCTGGACAGGCGCTGCCATTTTATAGTTTTCTTTCAATAAGGCTACACTGCAACACACATCAAAAGAACTACACTACCCAGAAGCCAACAGTGCTTCCACAGCTTTCTGCTGAAATGGAGGGAAAGTTTTGCAACGCAAAGTCAGAAGTAGCAATTGATCTATTAAACTCACAGAACTGGCAGGAAAGTCTCAAATAATCCTGAAGCTTCCTGGAGCTCAATTATCCACATGCACTTCAACCTGGACGGGTCGGTGGGCTTCGTCACTACAGCGTAGGTCAGCTGAGCCGGAAGCGAGCTGCTGGTCTGCAAGGCTGGTGAGTAAAATTTTGTAGTACTGTGCAGTACATATACATATAACCATCAAACTGTTTTACACCTACTGTGGTGGTGTGTGGAACGTAACCCCCACGATAATCGAGGGGCTACTGTATTTGTAAAGAAATTCCAGCTAAGGTGAATCTGAAACCAGATCACATCTGAATAATGATTTTCCAAATTAATTTGTGACTTTACAAAAACATCAGCAGATCTGCTAATATTCTTTATCGTGTTCAGTTGACAGTTGATTGACACAAGTTACGTTTATCTGCATACAGAGTAGATAACTGAAATCCCATCACAAAGTCAGGACACGTATTTACGGTAGGTACAATGTGTGAACACAGATACTAAAAGCTGTCCACCCCTCCTTACAGACCCAAGAACTGGGGCTATTCAGACACCGGTGATTGAGTAAGAGGAACAAAATTATTCCATTATAGGAAGCCTTCGCATTTATTTCTCTCTTTCAGCAGCCCCACTCCTAAAAGTAGCCACATTTAAATAGCCAATGAGGAGAATGCCTTATTTACGTTGCTCTCTTGATAGAAGCACTGCAGTCACTTCTATGAGCATCTGCAAATTGTCAAGGAGAAATAACATTCTGCTGTCTGTTGAGGATGAATGGCCCACATTCCTTCTACGTTACAGTCATTTAATTCTCCCCCTCAGTCCTCTCACCGTGGCTTTAACAGATTACACTTGGCAGAGGCTAGATGAAAGGCGGTGGTGGCTCGGCGCATGCTTGCTCTGGAGTAACAGATACAGCTGGGTGCATTCCTCAACAAAAATAATATTCAAGAATCCTCTCAGACCAGCCAAAAACCTCCACAAAAACAAAGTGTTAGACGTACCAGAAACTCAATAAGACTGAGAATGGTGGTGAAACTAAATTGCAGCATGATAACTTCTACGGTCTCAGGATGATACAGTGCACAGGCAGATATGCCATTTCCTCTCTTTGTCCCACTCTGCTCTCAGATGGACAGAATGTAATGAGTACATTATTAGGGACAATTTGTCTTCGTTTTCCATTTTTCAGCAGGGAAAGGAAGCTATGACATCATGCCAGTGAAAGTGCAGGCGATGGAGCCAGGTGGATGGAAAGAAAAAAGAAGAGAGGGGACATTGAGGGGTAGAAATAAAGCAAAAGAAAGGGATATAAATGCTTTGGCGTGTAAAATAGGAGCAAGATCATAAAAGACGAATGGGGAAAGCAGGTTTAAGCAGACATGTTAAGTTTAGCTGGTTTGTGTCATTTTCCAAAACCTGCCACTTGAGTGATCATGTGATCAACTCATTTTCTATTGATACGTCTCATCATACACTTGTGACAAATTACTGTGGTAAAGGCAACATGCAGATGGGGTGTCGGTGTGAAATGTAAAAGGAGACTACAGAAACAAGTAAAGGAGCTGGAGTGACACTAAAACTGAGGACAGCAAAAAAGATTGAGATAAAAGCAGAAAGCAAACTGTCAGAGACAAAACTATGCTGACAGGCTGACCCCTCTGCAGGAAACAGTCACTCAGAGCAGAATTTGTTTATTTATTGGATGAATTTATTATTTAAAAATATCTTACTTATTTCCTGGCTTTAAAAAAAAGTTTTAAATGAGCATATGCAGTAAAGGCTATCAGGCCATTCATTTTCTATACCTGCCCAATTCTGTTCAGGGTACCGGGGAGGCTTGTGCTTATCTCCAGCGTGCTGAGCAAGTCACCAGTCCATCACAGGGCCACATAGAAACAAACCACAATGCACACACACACACACACTTGAATGTGCTGTACCAGCTCTAGATAAAAACACAGTACAAATAAAAAAAAATAAAAAATAAATAAAAACGCTGGGTGACAGCAAAATAACTAGAAATCGAACTATCTGAAACACATTTTGCAGCCTTTAAGTGATGGAAAATATGCAAGACAAGCCTCAAATAATTTATCTTCAAACAAAATCCAGCTGCCATCACTCATTTCTGCCTTTTTAGCCATTACCCCATAGATTCAAGCACAATCGGTGTTACAGTTCTGAATTATATAGGATTCATTTGTTGATTTATACTTTTAGCATCTTATAGAAAGTATTAGAGTGGCATTTACTGATATAGCACAAAGTCCATCAAACTATTAATTAATGACTGTTTTGAACAATATAATTAAAAGATCACATACAGGAGACAATGATACCAAGAAAACAGCTTAGCCTAAAGCTAACAATACAACAATCAACTAAATAAAGAATAATACAAATGGCAACAGCTGTGGACTTATCAAAAATAAAAAAATACTGGTGTATGGAGTACTGAAATAAAAGACATGTAACAATTAGAAACAAATACGACAACCAAAATTTCACCTTTAATGTCTCCATCAATGAGGGCATCTGAAGAAATCCACGGCAGCAGGAGGTTGAGAAGAAGAAAAAAGTAAATTAACCTTCTAACAACCATCTAGAAATTTAATGAGAAGAGTCTGATTTCTCTTTAAAAACACATTTTGCAGTTTGACAGTGAACCCTGACTTCCTTTATTAACAGCCTTTTTAAAATTTGAATCTTTATTAGAGTGAACGAGTGCAAAAGTCAAGCCTAAAATCTGGATGAGCAGCTGTCCTTTATTTGACACATTTAGAGGAATTCACATAAACCGCACCCCAACTCCAGGCAAAACTTCACCCTGCAGGATGTAGTACAGCAAAACGCAGGCGTGGTTATAAATGAAGATAAAAACAACTCTCACCACGTGCATGCAGCATATCAGGCTTTACAAGACAAGGCTTGACAGTTTAGCAACTGCCAAGTTCAGCATGAGCTCTCCCGCACAGGTAGTTTCAAAAGTTACAGGAGGCAAACAAACCACATTTAGTGTGTGTATTCTTGTAGCTGTCTTCTGTGCAAAACAGTGTCAGTGACTGCACAGCTGTCATCTGTTACCCCTAAAAGTGAGCTTAAATAATAATGTTTAAGTTACATCAAAACCCCAAAAAAGTCTAATAAATGTGGTATTCTCCATATATGTGTAAGGATTGTTACTTTGCACAATCAACCCACTTTAAAACTTTTATTGTGAGTGTGCAGATTCACACATTTTCCTGTTAAACCTTATACTAAGCTTTCTGCTCGCTCCTCACTACAATGGATACGTTCAGACACATCTGTTATTGACATCACTATAAAACTGTCACCACGAAGCCTCAGTCATTCTCAGCACGTTGTAAAGAAAACAACAATCTCCATGCTGTGCTGCAGGTCCTGCCCTCTTGTGTGCCCCAAAGATCAAATTGGCTACACATTCTCAACATCTCACGTTCATGCATGAAGACAGCTAATGTTTGTCTGCATATAGGACAATTAGGCAAGAAATTTAACAATGTACAGAAAAAAACAATGTCCTCAGTGTATTCATTCCTGAATAGACACAGCACATGTGACTGAAGTGCTGAATATTTATAATAAAATGTTATGTACTAAATATGGTTATGAATACTTACCGTATTTAAGGAGTGTTCTCAATAGGGATGCACGATATTGGATTTTTGGCCGATATCCGATATGTTAAAACTTATTTGGTCGATATCCGATACAGATATTTTTAAGATACTTTCCTTTGTCAGAACATAGTCCTCTTATTTAGAGTTATTTGCTACAAAAATTGTGTAACAGCTGTAAGAGTTGGTGACATATATTCAGTAACAGCCATATGCATAGCACTTTAACTTATATTAAATGAAAAGTGTTAAATGTTATTTATTAGAATTAGTCACCTGCGATGCTGTTTCACATGTGAAGGCTTGTTCCGGGTTCCTAGCTGGAGTGTGGGATCCTCTGTACTCTTGTGCATGAAGGACAGCCTTTTTAAGTTCAAAGATTTTGTATATCCATTGTGCCGTAAGACTAATCACGCTAACGGGGCTAACACTTGACGTCCAAATGTCTGTGGTAAAACTCACCCAATTTCTATCAGCTATTAGCTTCTCAATGATGTCAGAAATGACAGCTTGTAACTCGGGTAATGCTACGTCGGAAAAATATCTCTAACTGGGAACGATGTAGCGAGGCTCAACGTAGTCCAAAAATCTTCGGAATCCAATATCCTCAACGGAAAAAGAAAAACGTCCACACCGCCGACATTTTGACTTCTTCCTCTCCGCCGAGATCAGATCAGGTAGGCACGCATGACGTCATCACGTTGTGCTGGTGCTGCAGGCATCCTTGTCACTGGGTTGTCATACAAAAACAGCGCCTTTTATATCGGTGCGTTATTTTGATGGAATGGCCGATGTCCGATATTTAACTTTAACGCTAATATTGGCCGATACCATGCCGATGATATCGTGCATCCCTAGTTCTCAATGTAAAATACATTAAAATGTGAAAGCAGAAAATTTACACAGGCAGGTATTTTCCTTTTATGGCTGCAGACTGAAACAAGATACAAATTGAATCTGCCAAGTTTCATTTTAAGATGAAAAGATGACAAACCAGTAAGGACAGGCATGTCCTTCGTTATATATTTTCCTGAATTTATATACTTAGAATTAAATACAATGCAATAAAGCACACAGCCTTGCACAACTATATTTTTTAAGCTGACCTTTATTCAGTGTGTACAGCTTAAACATAGAAACCCATCTTACATTTTTAATTGAAGCTTTTACTTATTGGAAATAGGTGCTTGTTATTTAACATGTAGAAACACACACACACACACACACACACAGATGCATCTAAAAAAATTTGAATGTCATGAAAAAGTTCCATACTTATGTGAATCATTTCAGAAAGTGAAACTGCATTTTTACTGTACCGGTAGTTTATTGTTTTCATTGTTTACCGTTATTGTTGTCTGTACTTTATATGTTCTGTCTGACACAGGTCTCTCTTGTAAATGAGTCCTTGTGGCTCAATGTGACTATGCCTGTATAAATAAAGGTTGAATGAAAACTCTTATTACAGACACATAGATTACACAGTGGCCAACACCAGCAGAGGACATGACCCCAAACCAGCCAGGTAAGACGCTTCTGATGATGTCTCTGGTTCAAGAGTGGCTTGACTAAGACATTTGTAGCTCATGTCTAGGAGTTAATTACTGTAGCTGATTAGAGTGTAACACCATGAGTTAATAATTAATTAATTATAATAATAATTAATTAATAATTTTCAGAGACACTGATTTTTTTTTCATTATTTGTAAGTATAATCATCAAAAATATGAGAAATAAAGGCTTGAAATATTTCACTCTATTTGTAATAAATCTATGTAATATGAGTTTCAAATTCTGAAACGACTGACAGAATATACTGAACATTTTCACAATAATTTTTTTAGATGAACCTTATATATATATATATATATATATATATATATATATATATATATATATATATATATATATATATATATAGACTGCAACTTTGATAGTTGATATGTGCTGCTGATCATCCATGCTGCTGATCTCATGCTGCTGATTATTTCATGCTGCTGTGTTCATTCATTCGTACTCATCCACCCACAAAGACTCATGTTCGTACTGTTGTTGTTTGGTGTATTGTTTTGCACTATCAGTGACTAGCATATATCTTTAAGTGTTTATCTTAGATCCTTCTATTTTTGTTTCTTTTTACACTTTATATTTTTTGCTATTGTTGGATGCAATTGGGACCCTGTGAATGCAATTTCGTTCCACCTCATGTACCACATGTGATGCGAATGACATTAAAGAACCTTGACCCTTGTTACACACATGCATCCACTAAACATTTAGGTATACAGTAGTACGTTTATTTCAAACTGGGATTTACTGTGACTAAGAAGTAGAGTATGCAAGACCATTAAAAAGTGGCTACTGGTGAGGACAACGGATTAAGCACATCTTGCTGTACTCCATAGCTAACTGAAAAATGCTTAACTTTTTATTTTAAAAGAAACATATTTTTTTACATTTAGTCTTTCTTCAAAATGTAGTAAAAGATCTATGGTGCACACTAAAAAGCAGCATGTGTGTATTGAGTGAAGTACCTGCGAGGCTGTCAGGTCGTGTCATCCTCTCATAAATGTCGTAACTCTGAGGTCCGTAGGGGTCGGTGTTGTGGAGCATGGAGCGAGGCAGAGTGGAGCTGTAATGCTGGGGCACAGCGGTCATACTAGACCTGACAGGAGACGATGAGTGAGTAGGCTGCTGTGTCAGTGGAGGGTTGATACTGTCCGCCATCGTCAGAGGCGAGCCCATGCAGGCTGACGATGACCCAGCAGAGGTCTGATAGGATGAGGTGGTGCGGCCAGCAGTGCCAGATCGTGAGTTTGTGGAGCTCACGCGACGCAGTCCTGCAGGGGAATTTTTCTTGGTGGAGTAGGGTGAGCTACTGCCACCTATGCTGTTGGTGCGCTGCACAGAGGGCAGGGTTGTAGATAAGATGCTGGAGTAAGGTTTGGGTTCGGTTATGATGGGGGAGCCGTAGGCGCTGCCAATAGAGGTACGCAGAGAGCCACGGGATGGGGAGATACTGGTGGTGTAGGCTGGCGAGTGAGAGCGAGAAGGCACTGAACAAACCCTTCGCATAGCACGACCAGGCTGGGCTGTTGTGACTGCTGCAACCTGCAGGCAATTAAAAAAAAAAAACGTTGTTTTTCCCTTCAATCAATAAGGGGATATAAAGAAAATGATCATGTCGTATTACACACTCTGGCATAAACTGAGTTGTAAAATAAGAATTAAACTTTTAAATAACATTATATAAACAATTTCATCACATGCATGACTTTATAGGCCACGTTTATGTTGTCTTCTAACCCCCCTCCAGAGTGACATGTTGGTTTCTCAGCAATTTTTGTGTGCAAAGTTGTTTGAATCATGTTTATGCTGAACTGCTTAGCTCACTTTAAGTGATTTTAAGACTTTAAATTTCTGTACTCACAAGGCTAAAGCAATGAGGATTTTGCAGTCATAAAATTTTTTTAAAAAGCTATAAACATTAAAACAATGAAGTTGTGGCATACAATGGTGAGAAACTTGCTGACAGTACCTGGGCTGAAGCCTGACCCTCCGCTCTGGTATTCTGCCCAAAGGTGCCGGTGCCAGCTCCGGGGAAGGAGTGCTGCACCTTCAGCTCTGCCTTGACGTGGTTCTGACTGCTGAGGTAGCCACTGCTGGCATCCTGATAGCCACTGTCAGAGTAAGAGTTCATCTGAGCTGAACCACACGAATTCCCTGCAGATCCTGAGAGAAAGAGTGAGAAACTGACATGAGTTTAGTGAAAACTTAGTAAAACAGGGAAGGGGTTAGGAGCACAGGGGAACAGATATTACAAGAGGTTTTATAACAGACATGACCTTTAACTAAATAGCTTTTCTAATGAAAAATGACAGCAGGGGAACAACAGGTTTGCCACCCTGTGATTTAGTGTTTAGCTTTTCTTAGTCTTTTATAAAAGATCAGCTGTTACCAATTGCCTCTTTAAAACAGATATGTCATTTATACACATGAAAGCTGGATATTTTTTAGAAAATGTGCCGACAATACGGTCTATTTTTTATCATGAGTTGCTGTTCAGACACAAGCTTCTCTTGGGAAATTTGGTCTGTTAATGTACGGAAATGGCGATCAGATAGAACTCAGAAAGAAAGTCATGAGTGAAAATATACATGTACGAAATTACCCTCTTTACAACATGTAGGGCTTCATGATGCTGTGCTGTGGTGACATCAATATCACAAGAACTGCATATTTATTTACAACATCAAACAAGAGGGAACCAAACAGGGAAGCATGAAGAGTTAGAACTTGTAATGGTAACCTCAACATACGTGTGTGTTGAAAGTCTGCTAGACATTTGCTTTATTCATAAACTGTCTCACTTTGCATTGTTACAAAAAAGCTGGCAGGATGTTATTTTTATCTTGAAAAAACATGAGATTTGTTTTCCATATGCTGCAATGCATGTGTGAAAACACCAATTTATAGGTGAAAAGAAACAGCTAAGAAGATGTGTGCGCCATCATGACATCAGTGAAGGCTTAGATAAGGGGTCAACAATTTACAGTATATCCTGTGAGGTTTGTGCTGCTACATCAACTCTCAGTTGCAGCTCTGTGACAACCACGGTAAAGGTAAAACACTTACTCATATATTGACTCTGTAGCTATGTTTACATGCGCAAAATTCTTTGACCGGATTGAAATGTTTTCAGATAAAATAACTCAAATGTATCGTTTACATGGGCACTTTCTGTTCATGACGAGCGTTTACATGCAGCGGGCTTTGTTCTGAACAGAAGTACTGACGTGCAGAGTGGTAAACTCTCCTTAAAAAACACAGAAGAAGAAGTTCTATTTCCGGGATGAACGTAAACAAACCTCGCCGATTCATAACTTCGGGTTATGAATCGGCGTAAACCACCCGTTTCGTTCTGATCACAAATTATTTTGTATCACGCTGAATAAACAAATAACAAGCCGAACAGGGTGTTTACATGACGCGTTTTTATTTCGAACGGCCGTTTGATCCGATGACTTATGTCCATGTAAACATAGCTTGTATCTCTCACACAAAAGAGTAAGGCCCAAAAGTCTGGTTTGGGAAAAAAAAAAAAAAAAAACGTGAAAGTGTGTATGGTACTAAAATTCTAAATATTAATGTAAAAAAGACCAAAAAAAGAAACAATGGAGTGGAGCTAAGCTGAAGCAAAAAATAAAACTAAAATGCATGTGAGGTTAAAGAAGGGGACTGCAGAAGATAGACTGAAGGCAATAACAGACCCTCACTTTCATGAAGGGAAGACTGCTCTGGGGAGTACAGAGACACCTTCTCTGACCCAGTCCTGATGCGATAGATGGGCGACTGGGAGCTGTCAGTCACTCGAGACTTAGTATCCCCTGAGGCAGAGAAGACACAGGAGAGCAGAAAGTCAAAGAGAGACAGAGTGTTTAAGAAGAAGAAAGCAAGAACAAAACTGAAAGAAGGGGTTTGGAAATTTATAATGGTCATTAAAGCAGTGAACTTGTTTTGAGGGTGGGGACTGAGGGAAAACAAACTAAACAATGATTTCTGCTACATTAATTTTACAGCTGTATACAGCTGGTATCATTAATTTTTACAGCTTTACTAATTTGGGAATGCTCTAATATGCCCCACTCCTTTTGTACAGGAAAACAAATAATGATTCAACAGAAACTGGAAGTAGCCATCGTACAGTTTCTGTGCACAGTTTAGCCCATAGTCCCAATTCGGTTAAGCATGACAAGAGTCAATGGGTTTCTCTGCAATCACCAGAACAATAGGCAGAGGCAGCCAGTCTAGTTCTGGTAAATCAAGCATGCTTAGCTGTGTGTGAATGGGAGCTGAATCCTACGAAGACGCATTCATTGTTACCAAAGCTGACCCATTCAATAAAGCTGCTGACTGACAGGCGGAGTCTGTTTGACAACCAGACTATTTGCATTTCTACATCCGGACATCTAACAGTGCCAGTCTATTTACAGATACGATTGACTCGACAAATTGACTCCACTCAAATTGCCAAAGTATGTATTGGGTAATTACTGCTGAGATGAAATAAGCCTGTATGTGGCACCCTGTAGTAGCAACTTCTTTAAGTTTATCAAAGCTCATGCTCAACAATTCAGGTTAAAAAAAATCAAACGCCCAGAACGTCCAGTTGAAACATCCAGAAACCGTCCAGATGACCTGACTCAACTTTGTTTGATGTTTTACCTGAATTATTGAGCATGAACTTTGATGTTTTGAACCACTTTGGATATGCCTGCCTCTGAGGAGTTGACGGGGGAGAGTACGGACTCCAGAAACCATCTTATCACATCAAACTGGTTGGCTCACTATGTGAGTGTGTTGCTTGTGGAACTGAGTTTGTTGTGGCTCCTCTTCCTGATGAAGTCCTATGGATGAAGGACAAAACATTTCCACAAAAGACACTGTCCAGATGGCCTGACTCAACTTTGTTTGGTTTACTTAATGTTTTTGTTTGTTTTTTTGTTTTTTAACTTTTCAACAACTCTGTCATTCTGACAATATTGTTTGTCGAAAACATAGTTCTGAGTAAAACAATCTTATGAGGTTTCAAACTGTTTGGGTTTGACTTTCCTGATCCCCATCATGGTCTGACACACAATACAACACTTTCTAAACAGCTTGAACAAAATACATATTTTTGCAGCTGAAAGAACCAAACAAAACCAATCAAACAAACAAACAAACAAAAAAAAAAACCAGGGTAAAATATAATTGAAACCAACTATGTAAAAGTGCAACATGGAAACAGAAGGGATATAGAGATATTATATAAGGAGTAAACTGTCTAAGTGTTACAACAAAATGGTTTGCAAGAACTAACACACTGTGAAACTTCAGTGATGGTAAGACTTAATAACAGTTTGTGATGACATATTGTCAAACTGTGTCTTGACCCTGTTTATTAAAGCAGGAACTACAATCCCAGAGCAGACAGTCACAGGAAATAAAAAGAGAAACGGACAGCAAGCACAGAGGGAGAAAGAAAACATGCAAAAAAGGAGGATTGTCTCCTTATGGCAAGGGTTTTTGAGCAATCATTAACAATGAATTTAACATAAGAGGTGTGTAGATTGCCTGATATTTTTATTTATTTAAGTGACACTCGGTGCTGTATTCGACACGTTTGACCACATAATTCTCAAATACAGATTTGAGCACATCATTGGGATCAAGGAAACTGCCTTAGCTTGGAATAAGTCATATCTGTCTGAAAGACTTCATTTCATACATTTCAATAATGTGTCCTCACTGTTTTCTAAAGTTAATCATGGTGCTCCCCAGGGTTCTGCTATAGGTCCAGATCTTTTCTCTTCATAAATGTTTACTTTAGGTCACATTATCCGAACATATTACTTACAGCACTGTTGTTATGCTGATGACACATAGCTTTATACACAACTTAAACCAGATGACTCATTTATTGCTCAAACTCTAAGCCTGACTTGGGACGTAAAGAACTGGATGTCCTTAATTTTTCTTTTGTTGAACTCACATAAATCTGGGATCAATGCTTTTGGTTCTAAAAAAAAAAAAAAAACTAAATAAGACACTATTAGAGCTGTCATTTTTGATCCTAACCCAGAGACTGGCCCCGCCCAACCCAGATTCAGACCAGGCCGGTCCATCATAATGTGCTTAATGTGTGGGCCGGGTCATGTCTGGCTTTTGATTGCGTCAGTGGACGTACACGGCTGACGATCCAATTAAATGGCAACATGGCTTGTCATACTATCACCAGCTGCACGCGGCCATTGCACCGCGCGCTGACCGGCCTTGAAACAGGTAAAAAGTTCAGATAAGCTTCAGATGGATTACTGCCAGTGGTCCATCGTCCAAATGGACGTTCATTCAGCCTCTGCACTCAGCGGATGTGCGCGGCCGACGACCCAAACAGGTGAGATCACAAAATATCCGACATGTCAGAGCAGGGTCCAATGCAGGCAGAAGCAAGAGAAGCATTAAATGCGCTTTGGCGGCTGCCCCCTTTATTCAGCTGCGCGCGTCCACCGACCGTTAAGAACTATAGCTATAAGAAGTCAAAGCTTAATTAAAAATGTTGGGGTTTTTTCAGGTTCGGACCTGTAATTACTGTTAATTTGTCGGATCGGGTGAGGTTCGGAAATTATGGCTACGGGCTAGGGCTGGGTCCGATTTTTTATACCCTAATGCAACTCTAGACACTATACACTCAAAATATCATCTTGATGGAATTACAATAGCCTTTAGTACAAATCTTACCATAATCTAAGACCTATACTTTAATCTACATATCAAATTAGTCTCAAAAAGACCTTTTTTTTTTTTCATTTTTGCAAAATCTATAAAATTAGAAGCTTACTTACTCAAGATGATGCTGAAAAACTGGTCTAAGCCTTCATCACTTGCAGACTTGAATATTGTAATGCCATTCTAGCTAGGTGCAATAAACAGTCCTTCAAAACCATGCAGCTTTTTCATAAAGTTGCAGCAAGAAAATTGACAGGTACTTCTGAGAAAGACCATCATTTTTCTGTTTTACCCTCTCTGCACTGGCCTCCGTGTCTATCAGAATACAATACAAAATCCTCCTCAATGCATACAAAAGCAATGAATGGCCTAGCTCCAGCATAACTAATTGTTCCTTACAACCCAACTAGATCACTTTGCTCCCAGCTTGTTGTCTCCCCTTTTCTGGATCAGCTCCCTGCTTCAGAAAATAACACCAAGACACTTTCTCTGTCGTTGAAACCAACCTAAAAACATATTATTTTTATGACATTAATTATTTTTGAATTATGCTATCTATGACCTATTTTTGGTTTTATATTACCTGGTCTTAAATTATTTATTTATTTATTTATTTTACATTAAGTATTTTGGGTTACATCTGTGTTTTAAAATAATTTTATAAATAAAGTTGAGTGTTTTGATGTGGGACTGTATCATCCATATGAATGTTTGAATACACACCCTCCCAACTCTTTAAAAGGCTGTTGCATTGTGAGTCCAACTAATGTTTCAGCAAAAAAGTCTCCATAAAATGTCATTATAATGCTGGTCAAGCTTGATAAATTTTACAGTAATAAATGTGGATTCTGGCTTTTATGAGACTACACATGCATATGTATGAGCACTTAAGGGACTATATGCCTCCAATTCTTTCTGATGGACATACCGACCTGGTGTAGGCAGAGTGCAGATTATAACAGCTGATATCTACCACTACAGTTTTTATTTATGATGTGCTTTTACATAATAGGCAACAGCAAATCTAACAGTTATTATCAAGTAATGTAGTTTTTTAGACAATGTTGGTTACTTTTAATTGTATTTAGAGTTTGAATAAGTGGTGTTTTTTATTAACACCACCAAGAGACCAAGCGATCCTTGCGACTATGACACTTGGGAATTCAAGTGCCAACATGAAGACCGTTGGTCGAACCTCAGGTCCAGGAGCAATGTGGATTCCATCCTGGTCGTGGAACACTGGACCAGCTCTTTACCCTCACTAGGGTCCTCGAGGGGTCATGAGAGTTTGCCCATCCAGTCCACATGTATTTTGTGGACTTGGAGATGCCTTTCAACCATGTTCCTTGAAGTACACTGTGAGGGGTGCTCCGTGAGTATGGGATCAAGGGCCCGTTGCTACAGGCTGTTCAGGGTGGGAGTTGGACTCCACCAGGGCTGCCCGTTGCCACCAATTCTGTTCATAACTTTTATGGACAGAATTTCTCAGTGAAGTCGGGGGGCAGAGGGATTCCGGTTCGGTGGCCTCAGGATTCCATCTCTGCTTTTTGCAGATGATGTGATCCTGTTGGCTTCATCATGCCATGATCTTCAGCTCTCACTGGAGTGGTTCACAGTCGAGTGTGAAGTGGCAGGGATGAGAATCAGCACCTCCAAATCTGAGGCCATGGTTCTCAGTCGAAAAAGGGTGGATTGCTCTATTTGGATCAAGAGTGAAGTTCTGCCTCAAGTGGAGGAGTTCAAGTATCTTGGGGTTTTGTTCATGAGTGAGGGAAGAATGGAGCATGAGACTGACAGATGGATTGGTGCAGCATCTGTAGTATTGCGGACTCTGTACCGATCCTTTATGGTGAAGAGGCAGCTGAGCTGTAAGGCAAAGCTCTCTGTTTACCAGTCGATCTACGTTCCTACCCTCACCTATGGCCATGAGCTCTGTGTAGTGACCGAAAGAATGAGATTGTGGATACAGGCGGTTGAAATTAGTTTCCTCCACAGGGTAGCTGGACTCTCCCTTAGAAATAGGGTGAAAAGTTCACCAAAGTTTATGCTCAATAATCCAGGTATAAAATCCAACAATGTTCAGTCAGGTCATCAGGACAGGTTTTTTTTTTTTTTTGTGCTGAGATGTTTCGCCCTCCATCTGGAAGGCTTCATTGGTCCGCGGAAACACCAAACAAAACTCTAAAAAAGTTAAATCTGGTCCTCTGGACATTGAAAAAAACCAAAGCAAAACAACAACAAAAAATGTAGAAACGTTTCATCTTTCATCTGAAAGACTTCCTCAGTCTGAGGTGCTGTATTCAGCTCAGTCTCTTAAATAGCACCTTCTCAGAGTGGATCAACCAGTTTGTTTGCTGCAGTTTTGCTTTGTTTTTTTTGTTTTTTTTTTAATGTCCATAGGACCAGATTTAACTTTTTTAGATTTTTCTACCTGGATTATTGAGCATGCATCAGGATAGCAAACAAAACTGCTTCTCCCACAACAGCCTACTCCAAAGTGGACAAAACCAGTTATGCTGGTGCTAAGATGACCTATGGGGCACGCCCTCTCCTCTGGGGCACGCCCTCTCCCTCATCGAGAGGGTGAGAAGTTCAGTTATCCAGGAGAGACTCAGAGTAGAACCGCTGCTCCTCCACATCGAAAGGAGCCAGTTGAGGTGGTTTGGGCATCTGGTAAGGATGGTTCCTAGACACCTCCCTAGGGAGGTGCTTCGTGCATGTCCGACTGGGAGGAGACCCCGGGGAAGAGCCAGAACATTCTGGAGAGACTATGTCTCTCGGTTGGCCTGGGAACGCCTTGGAATCCTCCCAGAAGAGCTGGAAGAGGTGTCTGTGGAAAGAGATGTCTGGGTCTCCCTGTTCAAGCTGCTGCCCCCCGAGACCCGACTTCGGACCAAGCGGAAGATGATGGATGAATGGATGGAACATGAAGACCACAGCAAACAGAAAACAAAGAAATGTTCAACTCGGTGGCGTTTCTCCTCTACTCTTAGTGGACATTAAGTGTGACATTTCCAGAGGCAGAAAGACTTGTTTCAGCAGTCATAATTCTATCCTCCAGGAAACACTTTGTTCCCATATTCAGAGTTGTATTTGCTTAAAGTATAAAACCACATCTGACTGTCATTTGTTATCCGTGGTATCATTATCAATCAACACAAAACAAAACTGTGACTGTGATTAGTCTCCTGTTCTGTTATAACACTAATGAAATGCATTCAGAAAGGAAATGAGGAGCAGACAGTTAATGAGAAAAGCAAGTGGTATTAATATTCCCAGTGCAGATGTACTGCTATAACACCCCCATGGGCTCTCTTGACAGAATCGACAATAAAAGATTAATGACCACTGCAAAAATTCTGCTTTTCACTATGCAATTAATAAGCCATTAAAGATGTTAGCAAATGCAATTTATTATCTGTTCTTTTCCAAAAATCTGATCAGAATGAGAGTTAAAACAATCAGACAGTGAATAGATGTGGGAAAAAAAAAAAACATCCTTCTGTCACCTGTCACTGATGCAGTAACTATTAAACAAGAACATGCCGGGGGGCTGTCAACTGCTTTGTTGAAGAGGGTCGCACTGGTAGATTATCGAGGAAATGTAAAACATGTCAGGAATGCACTCTGCATGCACAGAAGCACACACTCAGACAAGCATTTTTTCTATCCTCAGTAAGAAGAGAAGCACTTAGCTAAGGAGGTTTTGTCAAACTTTCAATATTTTATCACAGTGATACTTAACACATTGTCCCTGGTCTAATCCCTTATCATTTATAGTGGACCTAACTAGGGAGAGATGGAGAGGTCAGTAGTCACTGCAGTTCTAAATTACTGTTCTATTATTATTTTAATGAAGGTGGGTGAGCTGCTGTGCGAGTCTAAAGAATGTCAAACAAAATCTGACAATATTAAACAAATTGAAATAGAAAAAGGGCAGCACGGTGGTAACGTTGGCAGCGCTGCTGCCTCTCAGTGAGCAGGTTGCCCCAGTTCAAATCCCAGTCAGGGGGACCTTTCTGGGTGTAGTTTGCATGTTCTCTAGGTGCATGCGTGGGTTTTCTCCAAGTACTCCGGTTTCCTCCCACAGACCAAAAACATGCATGTTGGGCTGATTGGTAATTCTAAATTGTCCAGGTGTGAATGAGAGAGTGAATGGTTGGTTGTCTCATTTGTCTCTATGTGTCCCTGTGATGGACTGGAGACCTGTCCAGGGTGTACCCTGCCTCGCACAGTGATAGCTGGACATGGGCACCAGTGACCCCCGCGAAAGGAAGAAATGGGTAAAAGATGATGGATGGATGGATGGATGGATGGATGGATGGAAATAGAAAAAAAAAATTCTAAAAAAGACGAAGTTAATTTATTTTGCAGTGTAAAACAACATACCTGCTGTTCTCCATGGCAGAGATTTCTCAGATGAGCTGTGAGAGAGGAAAGAATGGATTCAAAAAGTAAATATCAGAGAAAGAACAAGCAAAAAACAAACAAAACAAAAAACAAGTGAAGTGCTTCTATACATTATGTACTCCTTTATTAGAGGTTTTACAACAATATTTGAAAGGACCAATACAGTGTTTGGAACAAACAAAGTTTAACTAATTTAACTAATTTTAATGTTTTTTTTTTTTTTTTTTTTTTTTTTATCAAGCCTGAAAGACTGTTCTGTTTGAGTGAAAAACAGTTATCAGTGCTGGTCTGAGAGCAGTTCTTCCACATTCAGAGTATATTAGCAGGCTAAGAAAATAACCATTGGATAGACACAACCTAATGAGAGCTGAAAAAATATACAACAAAGTGAGAGAAGATCAAACTGCCTTCCCACACAAACCTTTAAAGCACACTGACATTAGTGATATCCCTGTATGAACAGAAAAGATGTAGTACTTCTAAAAGATAGTATGTACAGTAATATGCTTAAATTTCACGGGTTAGTCTTGGTTAACTTCCGTTATGTTCACGCTGAAAGTTGTAATGCTTAATTCCAAATGTTTGCTCTGATCTGTTTTGTTTTTTTTTGCATGGTCATTCACATTTTCATTTAAATGTGACTTCCATCAGACTCTAGTGTGAACCATCTGCAGGCGACCCGCATGCACAATAGAAAACGAGACATCTCACGCAGCACGTTGTGTTTAAGAAAGTAAATATGGATGATATACATGTTAGTATGTGTGATTCTGAAGTTGTTGTGCAATCAGAGCTGACTAAGTTATTATGTGACATGCTTGTATGGTTCGGTGTTTACATTTAATCTAGACTCTTGGTGGCTCTTCCAGCCCAGGATTGTGGTTCTGGATCGACAGCAACATACTGAAGGTAAAAACAAACTCAAGTATCGATCCCATCAAGTTATTATTGAAACGGTCTGATACCGATGCACATCATACAGGTGCATCTAAAAACGTTAGAATATCGTGAAAAAGCTCATTTTTTTACGTCTGTCATTTCAGAATTCATACATACATTCACTTCTCATAGAGTGAAATATTTCAAGCCTTTATTTATTGTAGTTTTGATGATTATTGCTGACAAATAATGAAAATTAGAATATTCCACAGCCAGCCTTTGTCAGAGTGGGCAGGTACCAAGTCCTGCTGGAAAATGAAATCAGCATCTCCAGAGCTCTAAAATGTCTAAAATAAAAAATAGATGTATGGACTGTGGACTTCAGAAAACACAGTGGACCAACACCAGCAGAGGACATGGACCCAAACCATCACTGACTGTGGAGACTTCTCTGGACTTCAAGCAACGTGGATTCTGGGCCTCTCCACTCTTCCTGCAGATTCTGGGACCTTGATTTCTAAATGGCATGCAAAATTTACTTCCATCTGAAAAGAGGATGTTGGACCACTGAGCAACAGTCCAGTTCTTCTTCTCCTCAGCAGATAAGACGCTTCTGATGTCTCTGCTTCAGGAGTGGCTCAACGCGAGGAATTAAATATTTGTAGCTCATGTCGAGGAGTTAATCAGCTGATTAGGATGAGTTTACAGTACTGAACCTCTTCACAACATTTCTATTTTCTGAGACCTGAATTTTTTTTTTCTTTCGTTATTTGTAAGCCATAATCATCAAAACTAGAATAAATAAAGGCTTGAAATATTTCACACTATGTGTAATGAATATATATAATATATGAGTTTCACCTTCTTAAATGAATGACAAAAGAAAAATAAATTTTACACAATTTTCAGATTTTCTCAGATGCATCTATATGTTGCTATAGAATCTCAGTCATCCAGGATAAGGAAAATTAAAGAACAAAGACGAGACAGCTTGACTTTTGATCTGTAGCTGAAGACCTGTAGTTCAAAGATTTAAACTGTTCCAGGTTGATATCATTATTAATACGCAGATCAATCTGCTTAGCTTTACATCACTGAAATAAAAGTCAGATGAAATGCAACATGACCATTCAGACTAAGGTCGCTTTGAAAAACATTAGATCTATATCTAATGTACTATACATGAACAAAAACTCCTGGGTCAGATTTGAATAAATTGAATTTGTCACATTCAGAATGTCGTGAAAAACTGATATGGGCCACAAAGGGGTGGGAAAATAGTCACATTTGGGCCACTTTAGTTTGCCTGCAGTGTGAAAGTTGCCTTACCGTTTTATACGACTTCTTCAAAAGAGGAATAAAGTTATTACTTGCTTCAAGCTTTCTAATCAATAATCTTCCATTTTAACCAAAAATAATTCAAAACAAAACTTAAACAAAAGCTTTTCCTTCATCATAATGTACAAAATGCAAACATGTCTGTTCATGTTTACTAAAGCAAGTGTTACTAAAAAATTCAGTTTCTTTAAAAAAATACACTCCAAACACTACTATTTAAGATGAAGTATAAAAGCACATCAGTTAAGCATGAAGTAGTACATCTTAACTACTTAAAATGTTCTACTACTTATGAAAACACTTCCTAATTAAAGACAAGTCAGATTCTCTTTTTCATGTTAGTCATTATAACAGACAGAGATAAAGAAGATGACCTCAGAGTAGTCTAACAACTAGTTTTATCTTTATATCTCTTCCCTGTTGGTCATTAATGTAACACGTTTAGAGTTGTTACTACAACCAGTTTTCTTTCATCCAAGGTGACACTAAAGAAGCTCAACTTTCAGCATTGTAATGAGCCCACAGGCAATTAAAAAGAGGATGCTGGGAAAGTTGTGCACCACTGAACCATAGCATATCAAGCAGAAGAGTGGCTACCATGACGACAATGGTGATAAGGCTGCACGCTGCATGTTGACTACAAACTGGAAAAGGCACCATTAGTTTCAGTAAAAGTAAAAGATGATCTACAGCAAGCCGTACCCTGCCAGTACACTTCATTTCCTAGACATCATTTTCACTAGTGAATGACTAACCATGCAGGAGGTCAAAACTTTGAGTGCTGCCAAAGGACAGGTTTGACAACTGCTTCTTTTACGTTTGCAGAAATATAAAGAGTGACCATCCTCTGAGGGGTTATGAAATGTAATGACTCTTATCAGAAGCCTTAAGTGTCCCATCACCTCTGCAATTGTCCTGCTGCGCGTTTGAGCCAGTCAGCGTGACTTCTGTGTAAAAGCTCATCTCAAGTCGAACACAAACTCTGTGGCAACCGTTTCATTTGTCTTGCTTTAAAATAGGCATATGAATGGTGTTAATGTTGGATGCTGTGGTCTTCTTGGCCTCGTGGGCCAAGTGTCACCATACACGTTTTTAACAATAGTAATTAGATGCTGTATTAGCTTGATTTAAAACACCATAAAAATACATCAAAACAAGATTTTAGAGAAGAAAAAGAGAAAAATATTTTACTAGTATTTATCCAACAAAGTTAAGTCAGGTCCTCTGGACGGTTTCTTTTTTTGTTGAACCATTTCGTCTGTCGTCCAAAGGATTTCATCAGTTTGAGGAGCCACAACAAACAGTAGCTATGTTTACATGCACAAAATTATTTGATCAGATTGAAATGTATTCAGATTAAATAATCCAAATGTATCATTTACATGGGCACAATCTGTTGACAACGAGCATTTACGTGCAGCAGGCTTTTATTCAGAATAGAAATACTGGCATGTGCAGAGTGGTAAACTCTCCTTAAAAAAAACACAGAAGAAGAAATTCTACTTCCGGGATGAATGTAAACAAACCTAGGTGCCCAAAATGGACCCGAGACAGGTTTTTAATGATGGTGGAGACGTTACTGCACTCCCTGACTGAGCTACAGGTAATACAGATGATTCTGAGCTCTTTCAAAGTTTCTAGGAGAAACGTTGTGTCGCTCAGGGGAAAATACGTGACGTTGACAGGTCGCACATGTGCAATCAGGTCAGTTTTCCACGATCGGAATAATATAATCAGATTAAGTGTTTACATGCACAGCGTTTGAATTATGAATCGGCATAAACCACACCTCTCATTCCGATTACACATTCATTCGGATCGAGCTGAATCAACAAAAACTATTCAGAATGGGGTGTTTACATGACACATTTGTATTCTGAATGGCCATTTAATCTGATTACTTACATCCATGTAAACATAGCTTCAGTCCCACAAGCAGCATACTCACATTAACTATGTTTACATGGACATACGTAAATGGATTAAAAGGCCATTCGGAATAAAAATATGTTGTGTAAAAGCCCCATTCTGATTATTTTTTGTTTACTCAGCTCAATCCAAAAGAATTTGTAATCAGAATGAGACGGGTAGTTTATGCAAATTCATAATCCGAATGGTGTACATGTAAACACTTAATCTGATCATTTTATTCCGATTGTGGAAAACTGCCCTGACTGCACATATGTGACCTGTCTACCTCACGTATTTTCACCTGGCTAGATGTTAATATGTCGGGGAAGCAAAACTGGTCGGTGAGCGACACAACATTTCTACTAGAAACTTTGAAAGAGCTCAAAATCATCTGCATTACCTGTAGCTCAGTCAGGGAGTGCAGAAAAGTCTGCACCATCATTAAAACCTGGCACAGGTCCATTTTGGGCGCTCAGGTTTGTTTACGTTCATCCCGGAAGTAGAACTTCTTCTTCTGTGTTTTATTAAGGAGAGTTTACCACTCTGCACATGTCAGTACTTCTATTCTGAATAAAACCCTGCTGCATGTAAACGCTCGTCGTGAATAGATCGTGCCCATGTAAACGATGCGTTTGGATTATTTAATCTGAAAACATTTCAATCCAGTCAAAGAATTTTGCGCATGTAAACATACTGATAGTGGGCCAAACCAGTCTGATGGTGATAAGATGGTTTCTGGAGTTCACCCTCTCCCCACAGAAAAAGAGAGGACAAGAAAGAGGGTGGACTCCAGAAACCATCTTATCACCATCAAACTGGTGGACCCACTATGTGATTGTGCTGCTTGTGGGACTGAGTTTGTTGTGGCTCCTCAGACTGATGAAGTCCTTTTGGTGGAGGATGAAAAGTTTCAACAAAAAAATAAACCGTCCAGAGGACCTGACTCAATGTTGTTAGATTTTTTTACCTGTATTATTGAGAATGAACTTTGATGTTTTACTATTTATATTAAAACCTTTTTCAAATTTTTGTAATATTTTGTAATAATGATATGTTACACTAAGTTATAAGTGTATAACCAAACCATGCAGTACACATTGGGACAAACATGTTTGGATATTTTGTCTTATAATATATCACATTAAAGCAAATGTGCAGCTAGTTTACCTAAATATGGTCATTGTTGCAGATTGGTACATGACATTTGAGGCATAAAAACAGAATTTCTTAAAGAGAAAAATCAAAAGCCCCTCACTTGTTTTCAGATGGTTTTGAGTACCCAGCATACTTCCTCTCGTCTAAAAGAGGGTGCATTAAGAGGGAAAAGGACATTCACTCCTGTATAGAGCAAGCTACATGTGTGCAGCTTGGAGTGCAAGAATGAGAACTGACTCCAAGGACATGAGGGTTATTGTAAAAAAAAGCCAGAAAATATCAACTCAAATCTTTAAACTGAAACTGTAGGTCCAGACATAGCCCAATTATAATGCAGACATTTGAGAAGAAGTGCAGCTCAAACTTGCATACCAATTAGTCCTTTGTAAGCATTGTGAATGTGAAGCATTTTTCACAGCCTTATCACTAATGTAGAATAAGAATGATATATCTGGATAGGTTTAAAGCAACAAATTTAATACCCATTAACCTTATTTGTGAACCAGAAAATGTCCATAAACTGTATCAAAGGATGACTGAAATGAATGTACCGTTAGAGGTGCTGAAAGCTTAAAATACACTCTGACTCATGTTTAGAGGAAATTAACTGAAGCAAAATCTATGCCGTTACATGGCCACGGTAGACAGCTGCATTTATTTACATCAGTTAAAGACTGATATGTCTTGCAGAGTTTTCCTGGTGGGGAACAATTAGTTTAATATAATGGCTGAAAACAATGAGATGTTCATATGAAGTCCATATACGCAGCTTACTGTATAATGATGAACATGAAGCATGAGTTTCTAAAGTCATCTTACTTTTCAGGTTACATGCTGTCTGATTATTAAGTGCAAAAAAGGGTTCAAACATGAAAAAAAAAAGAAGGTCTTTTTGCTTCAAATGGCTTTCAAAAGGTTTTGTTGTGTACAAACGTTCTCCAAGTTACTGTTCAGTGTATTTCCCATTCATCACAGGTAAACATTGAATCCTTTTGTTTTTCAATTGGCAAGCTTGTTGAGAATTTGTCACCCATTGGGACATGATCCTATTTTGGAACGCTCAAATGTGTTCGAGCTACAGGCAGCAAAACAAAATGCATGACCACATAGGTGTGATGATCAGGCAGCCTGGAGCCTTGGCTAATAACATAGTCACAAATTCCAAGAGTAAAATTACTGGGAGCTAGTTTCACTTCACCTCACTGTCATGCATGCTCTTAAAAGCAAACATATGCTTTGTAATTTGCTTTAAAATGTAAATATTCAACTGAAAAGTGCCCTCCACAAGACATATCTACATTTTCTAAATGTATAATAGTAATAAATATATAAATATAAATAATATATAGAGGGAATAATTTGTTTCATTGCCACATAAAACATCGTATGAGAAAAAGAGAAAGGAGCCAGTCACCAGTGGGCATTCTGAGTGGCTCATCGCGATTCTATGATGCCATAAGGTTTCATACACTATGAAATAGGGTCACTGCTGTGAAGGAGGGAGAAGCCATGTGTTGGATTGTGACAAGTGTGTGTATATGTGCACAGCTTCCCCTTACCTGCTGCTATCAGCGCCTGGTGACTCGGGCCCAAGTCTGCATCTTTCCAGCTGATTGGCCACAATCTGCCTCTCCACTTCCAGCTCCCTGGTTAGCCGCTCAAACTGAAGCTCCTACACACAAGCCCAACAGACAGAGGCACGAAACACAAGGTCAAAATAAAGCATTACCATCAGAGTTTTTATGTAGCTGCACTGTTGACTATGACAACAAACGTGAACTTGATGTAAAGTGAGTAGACTGGCATAAAACAGGTTTTTCCAACAGCTTTGGCCTTCATTGACGTATGTAGGTTAATGATGCAACAATGTAGGCTTAAAGCACATTAAGAAATTAACAGTTGAAAACATTCTAAAAAGAGATTATAGTATGTATACACTCACGCAAACCAAAGTTTTAAATTATACACACAGAGAAGCACACACAGACATGTGGCCTATAAGATATTGTCATATTTTCAGCCCACACAGAGGGATAAGCACCACTTCAGTGGGTGATATTTAGCCTTCATGGCTATGTTCCTATGGGAGTTGGGAACGAGTCAGCTTTTGACTAATTATCTCGCCCAAGCAAGGACGTTACTTGCACAGCTATGTGGCTTTAAGCGCTGCATCATGACACTCGTAAGACCCGCAAGGTCTACTATGCACAGAAAAATGATGGCACACACTCACCCTTCTATTTGCATACATTTAAACCACCATTTTTACTCAAACACAGCACTACTTTGGCAGGAAAAAGGCATTTTTCTAAACTTCTCTTGCAAAAAGAGTTTGCTAACCATAACTCACTGCGCAGGCGGAAAGCATCTCTCCTCGCTATCCTTAGCTGTCCCATGTAATGACCATTATCACGGTCGATTACATTCACAGCCAACTGCATACACAGACACATGAACTAGCTATACACATGCTTTGTGACCTGTCTAAGAAAATTTAGTCACTCCACATCACTAAGACCAGCGTACTTTTCACACCCCTCCTGTGGTCCCTGGGGCTGCACCAAAAATTTCCTCCACATTGTAGACAAGCTGTGCTCACCCCTCCCCCAAGCTAATACCACTTTATACTCTCTGCTGCTCACCTCTCCTCTGCTTCAGTGAAGGTATGTGAAGCTTGACTGCAATGAGAGTGAGCTTGCAGAAAAGAAAGGTGCTCCCCTCTGTTTCCTTAATGTAATACCTTTCTTATTGTGGATAAAATACCTGTACAGTATCCCAAGAAACTCTATGTATATATCGTTTTACACACCCATAAGTAACAAGGAGAAAACTGGATAGTAAAAGAGTAAATATTGTAAAATGAATAACACGTTAGCATCATGGCTATAAGTGTACATGGAAAGACTATAAATAGGCCTGTCGTGATAAATGATAAATCAGTTAATCACATGATAAATGAAAATTATTGACCTCGTTTTCATTTATTGGCTTTATCGTTTCTTCGTCTCTCTCTTTCTACTGAAGACACTGGAAGACAAAAGCTCAACTCTGGTGCTCTTCACTGACCCCTCCCTTTCTCTTTTTTTCTCTTTTCTTTAAAAACCGCTTTAACCGTCCAAAATCATGTTTTTGGATCGTTAAAAGCAGCTAAGCTGAGAAGCTAAGCTACGAGCTAAGCTAACAGGCTGACCTCGGGAAAAAAAACAGTCTTGTCGAAGCTCTAAAATTCATGGTTGAAACCCGTGCTTTTGTCTAAAAAGATGTTTTTTCTCTGCAAAAAGAAGCTGAGAACTTGTTTACTGATTTTTTTTTTTTTTAATTAAAAGCTTTGTGTGAAAAATGCAATGCTAAATAGCTCAAACCACACCGAACATTCACCATTTTGAGAATTGGAGAAAGGAAGGAGAGACAGTCCATGTCACGTCAAGGGGCCTCCCTCCCATTTTTCTTAAAAAGATACGCTGCTCGCTCCCTCACTATCCATCCTTCAGTTCAAATAGTCTTATACTGCCATCCAGTGGTCAAAAACAAGGTACTACACAAAAAATTTATCAACATTTCTTCTTCAATTTGACAACAATTAATACCGGTAATTATTGTAAAATTTCAAACAATATTATCGTTTATCGCAATAATTTTTGATACAATTAATCGCCAAGCAAAATTTGGTATCGTGACAGGCCTAACTATAAATCTTTAAATATAATCAATTGATCTCCAAAGTAAGTCTCTCCTGTTATTCCTGGCTGAATGTTAATAAACAGATGCAGTAAATGTAGTGGTAAGACAAATGTATTGTTAACAACAAAGTAATAACCATAATAACAAAGTTATTGTTATTTTTATTGTTATATTATGTTATTTTTTATATCCTGTGTGATTCCTTGTGTGTTCCTTTATATTGAAATCCTGGCACAACAATTTCCTGCGGGATCAATAAAGTTCTTATCTTATCTTCGTAATAAATATAAAAGGTTTTCAAAATATATATATTTTCAGAGACTTGTTTTTTTTTTATTTGTCTTGGTTTACGTTTAATGTTTAATTTCTGACATAATTTAAAAAAATAATCCGGATCACTTCTGCTATCAGTGTACACAAATAAACACAAGAGGGTATAAAACATATAGATGTGTGGTTAGAAAGGGAAAAAATGTTAACAAGGTAACAGATCACTCTTAAGAGGTTTGTTTATGAGTATGACACCTCGGTGTGATGTTCATGTTTTATGAGTGCAAGAGGGACTAATACCATTTGTATTCAGCCCAACATAAACAGACACACAACTCCAGTAAATGCACTACTATTCTCGGCCTGCCACCTCTATGCTTTCTGTTTTCTAAGCTTATAATCCAGTTGGGTGTTTGGCAGAGAATCAGTCTCTTGTCCTGAGACTTGAATGCAAGCTACAAAGTATCGAGATCCGTGAGGTTGGACCCAGATGCAGGCAGACACGGAGAGTTCAAAGTTAAATAAAATAATTTATTCGTATACAAATGAAAACAATGGCTGACGTGGCAGTAAATACAAAAAGGAAAACAACGAGGACCACAAGAGGGATAACATCTTGGACCACAGGAGGGAGGATGGAGACATTTGGTATGAAACCAAACTAATGAGTCGCTGTTGGGGTGGTGAACAGAAATGGTTTAAATAGAGCCAAGGGAGAGAGGAAAGTGACAGCACCTGGGATGATAGCTCATTAGAAATGGGTGTGAGTGATTACTGGCTGAAGACCTGTTGAAGCTGACTGAAGGTGAGAGTGAGGAGTGACACAGAAACACAGGGAGCTGAACCAAAACACAAAGGACAGAGAAAAATCAAAACCACAAGGAAAAATAAACTAAGATAACCAGAAAGAAACACAGACCATGACACAAAGTTCTTATTACAAAGAAGCATGTAAAAAAAAAAAAGAAAAAAAGAAACTGTTGCATCGTTCTTTATTACCTTTAGTCTCAATTATGAACTGGTAAGTGATTTTGGCTTTGAACAGCGGAACAATGTGATGCAGCCACAAGGAAGTCACTTCTGATTTTCAGAGTGTTTTTTAGCCTACAGCAGACTGGCAACCTGCCATTTTTTTTTTTTTCCCCAGCATGGAAAACCAAAGAGAATGCTCCCAAGCTTCCTGTATGGAGCTCCACAACTAAAAAAAAACTTTTGTCTTGCTTGACAAATAAGCTATAGTACTTCTCCAAGTTGTAGTACTATGCATTGTCTGTATAGCTCTACTGCTATGTAAATCATACAGTGATACTCCACAGTCCTGGTCCTCTAGGGACTCAGCCTCTAGCCTCTAGCCTCATTTTTTTTAGATGTTTCTCTGCTCCGGCACACCTAATTTGAATCAATGAGTGGTTACCAGGCTTCTGTAGAACTTGAAGACATGCTGAAGAGCAGGAAAACAACTAAGGCATGCAAGATAGTGGTCCTCGAGGACCAGGATTGTGGACCACTGGCTTATATGTATAGCAAGTAGGAGGATTGCATTTAGGACACAAAAAGATCGACTTAATGGCAACAAACATTAAACATATTTTGTTCTGCAGAATTTAATGTCCTCTTGGGTTTTTACATTTATGCTTTGCATTCTAATTCTCTTCTTGGCACAAAAAGGTTTAAAAGCTCACCCCCTCACATATACACATTATAATAAAGTTTTCTAACTTAATGTGACTTACTAACACTAAAATCAATATATATATATATATATATATATATATATATATATATA